TCATACCCAGAAAGAATTGTATGGAAAAATGAGAGGTGCGTCATGCTTCCCGAAAAGCAAAAGTTGTGAACGAAAAATGTCCCGATCCTTTTTCGCGTATCGTTCGCTTGGTTTATCCAACAACCGCTTCTATCCGGGTAATCAAGCCCTCGACGAAGGGTAACACAGAATTGACCGATTTTGGAAAAGTCTTTGTGATAACGGTGAGTTTGACTGTCTGATTTCTTGGAAGCTGGATGTTGGTCTGTTGGCCCAAAAGGCCCATTACTTTGTAAAAGGAAGTAATCGTAAGCCTGTATCGATACCTCCTCTATTTCAGTCTCATTACCATTCATGAACGTTCCATAGCAAGAATAATTCCCTGAATGTAGAGAGGCATCAAATGAACGGATAATCACATCATAGTCGTCAGAAAGAGATGAATTACTGAGCTGAAAAGAGCAAAGTGGTATGACTTTATATGTCAGGTCAAAGCACGTGTCAATAGGTCCGGTTTCCTTGAACACCATGGCATTGCTTAGAGAACGTTCACTCCCAGAAATCACCCATCGAGGTAGCCAGTATGGCCTTTCTCATTATCCAGATTTTCTTTTGAAACACCCACGTTGAAGTTTGTTTCCATCGATGTCATGTTACCATTGAAATTGCAATGAATATTGGAAACGCTTCCGTTGAACAACTTCAAGAGATAAGTTTGAGCCTTGTGAGCATACAGCTGATCATTAGGACCTAGTCGAATGACCAATGTAGTCTGATTAACCGGCTCTGAACATTGCATTATAATTGTGATGTATGAATGGTGAGGTCTCAGTGTTTCACAATAATGTCCATTAGTATTAATATCATAAAACTCAATCAGTATCATGGCAAAGCCAAAATAAGGACACTTCCCACAATGAAGGACAAAGCTGTAAGAGAAGACGTAAAGTCGCCGTAAAGTGGAACTAAACGGGAAAACTTCAAGGTCGATACTATCGATAATTGGGAGCATGGGAGACCAAATGGCGTTACCACCTGATAGACATTTAACTCATTCAAATTGGAAAATTTCCAATTCCTCCTTTTCAGAAAACCGCGGTTCCATAAATTTCGACCGGGGGACGGGAGATAATGGTAATGGAAAAGCGGAAGTTTTGTACCTTACGGAAAGTGTTAGTTTCCTCCGAGGCTAACCGTTCAGAACTTAGAGAGGAATCATAGTCTGAGTAGTTCTTCAGTCGAAATTCCCACATCACTTTTGATTCTCAAATGCGCCTGGAAGGGAATGAATGATGGTTTATTCGCTGGGCATCAGATTTACCACGAAAACATGAGCAAGATTGACTATAGGGCCATCAACGTGACTCCAACCTCTTAACTTGACTGAGTTATGACTGAGTGTGAGTAAAGTATGACCTGTCCGACCCAAACTTCCATCGAAGTCGTACCTTCTGAAATCTTTGCAGAGGTATCAAGAATCTGTGCAAGATTATCAAGTGGATCGATCACGGTCAGGTTCCGATCCGTACAATAATATTCCATTTCGCCAATGTTTCTAACACAACATACATAATTACCAGAATAATTCGGTAGAAGTGACGTAAACCTTAACAAGCATTTCGCACTTTTCCCACGAGCACAATTTTTCACTTACTGAGGTATAACCCACCGAATACTTTGATTGTTCTCAGCAAATATGATGTGCTCTGTATCAAAATTCAGCTCGTCATCTTTTTTCCAGATCTTCTCCATCGCTGCAAACCCGGGCAGAGACATCTCCCACTCATTGGCGCAGTCAATTTGTAGGAGCTTTTCGGTGGAGCCA